TCTCTCCCACGCGCATTACCACTCACAGCTCATCCAGTTTCACCTCTCTCCCACGCGCATTACCACTCACAGCTCATCCACTTTCACCTCTCCCCACGCGCATTACCACTCACAGCCCATCCAGTTTCACCTCTCTCCCACGCGCATTACCACTCACAGCTCATCCACTTTCACCTCTCTCCCATGCGCATTACCACTCACAGCTCATCCAGTTTCACCTCTCTCCCACGCGCATTACCACTCACAGCTCATCCAGTTTCACCTCTCTCCCACGCGCATTACCACTCACAGCTCATCCACTTTCACCTCTCCCACGCGCATTACCACTCACAGCTCATCCACTTTCACCTCTCTCCCATGCGCATTACCACTCACAGCTCATCCACTTTCACCTCTCTCCCACGCGCATTACCACTCACAGCTCATCCACTTTCACCTCTCCCACGCGCATTACCACTCACAGCTCATCCACTTTCACCTCTCTCCCATGCGCATTACCACTCACAGCTCATCCAGTTTCACCTCTCTCCCACGCGCATTACCACTCACAGCTCATCCACTTTCACCTCTCTCCCATGCGCATTACCACTCACAGCTCATCCAGTTCACCTCTCTCCCACGCGCATTACCACTCACAGCTCATCCAGTTTCACCTCTCTCCCACGCGCATTACCACTCACAGCTCATCCACTTTCACCTCTCTCCCACGCGCATTACCACTCACAGCTCATCCACTTTCACCTCTCTCCCACGCGCATTACCACTCACAGCTCATCCAGTTTCACCTCTCTCCCACGCGCATTACCACTCACAGCTAATCCACTTTCACCTCTCCCCACGCGCATTACCACTCACAGCTCATCCAGTTTCACCTCTCTCCCACGCGCATTACCACTCACAGCTCATCCACTTTCACCTCTCTCCCACGCGCATTACCACTCACAGCCCATCCAGTTTCACCTCTCTCCCACGCGCATTACCACTCACAGCTCATCCACTTTCACCTCTCTCCCATGCGCATTACCACTCACAGCTCATCCAGTTTCACCTCTCTCCCACGCGCATTACCACTCACAGCTCATCCAGTTTCACCTCTCTCCCACACTCACAGCTCATCCACTTTCACCTCTCTCCCACGCGCATTACCACTCACAGCCATCCAGTTTCACCTCTCTCCCACGCGCATTACCACTCACAGCTCATCCACTTTCACCTCTCTCCCACGCGCATTACCACTCACAGCTCATCCACTTTCACCTTCTCCCACGCGCATTACCACTCACGCTCATCCACTTTCACCTCTCTCCCACGCGCATTACCACTCACAGCTCATCCACTTTCACCTCTCCCACGCGCATTACCACTCACAGCTCATCCACTTTCACCTCTCTCCCATGCGCATTACCACTCACAGCTCATCCACTTTCACCTCTCTCCCACGCGCATTACCACTCACAGCTCATCCACTTTCACCTCTCCCACGCGCATTACCACTCACAGCTCATCACTTTCACCTCTCTCCCACGCGCATTACCACTCACAGCTCATCCACTTTCACCTCTCCCATGCGCATTACCACTCACAGCTCATCCACTTTCACCCTCTCCCACGCGCATTACCACTCACAGCTCATCCACTTTCACCTCTCTCCCACGCGCATTACCACTCACAGCTCATCCAGTTTCACCTCTCTCCCACGCGCATTACCACTCACAGCTCATCCACTTTCACCTCTCTCCCACGCGCATTACCACTCACAGCTCATCCACTTTCACCTCTCTCCCACGCGCATTACCACTCACAGCTCATCCACTTTCACCTCTCTCCCACGCGCATTACCACTCACAGCTCATCCACTTTCACCTCTCTCCCACGCGCATTACCACTCACAGCTCATCCACTTTCACCTCTCTCCCACGCGCATTACCACTCACAGCTCATCCACTTTCACCTCTCTCCCACGCGCATTACCACTCACAGCTCATCCACTTTCACCTCTCCCACGCGCATTACCACTCACAGCTCATCCACTTTCACCTCTCTCCCATGCGCATTACCACTCACAGCTCATCCACTTTCACCTCTCTCCCACGCGCATTACCACTCACAGCTCATCCAGTTTCACCTCTCCCACGCGCATTACCACTCACAGCTCATCCACTTTCACCTCTCTCCCGCGCATTACCACTCACAGCTCATCCAGTTTCACCTCTCTCCCACGCGCATACCACTCACAGCTCATCCACTTTCACCTCTCTCCCACGCGCATTACCACTCACAGCTCATCCAGTTTCACCTCTCTCCCACGCGCATTACCACTCACAGCTCATCCACTTTCACCTCTCTCCCACGCGCATTACCACTCACAGCATCCACTTTCACCTCTCTCCCACGCGCATTACCACTCACAGCTCATCCAGTTTCACCTCTCTCCCACGCGCATTACCACTCACAGCTCATCCACTTTCACCTCTCTCCCACGCGCATTACCACTCACAGCTCATCCAGTTTCACCTCTCTCCCACGCGCATTACCACTCACAGCTCATCCACTTTCACCTCTCTCCCACGCGCATTACCACTCACAGCTCATCCACTTTCACCTCTCTCCCACGCGCATTACCACTCACAGCTCATCCACTTTCACCTCTCTCCCACGCGCATTACCACTCACAGCTCATCCACTTTCACCTCTCCCACGCGCATTACCACTCACAGCTCATCCACTTTCACCTCTCTCCCATGCGCATTACCACTCACAGCTCATCCACTTTCACCTCTCTCCCACGCGCATTACCACTCACAGCTCATCCACTTTCACCTCTCCCACGCGCATTACCACTCACAGCTCATCCACTTTCACCTCTCTCCCACGCGCATTACCACTCACAGCTCATCCACTTTCACCTCTCTCCCATGCGCATTACCACTCACAGCTCATCCAGTTTCACCTCTCCCACGCGCATTACCACTCACAGCTCATCCACTTTCACCTCTCTCCCACGCGCATTACCACTCACAGCTCATCCACTTTCACCTCTCTCCCACGCGCATTACCACTCACAGCTCATCCAGTTTCACCTCTCTCCCACGCGCATTACCACTCACAGCTCATCCACTTTCACCTCTCTCCCACGCGCATTACCACTCACAGCTCATCCACTTTCACCTCTCTCCCACGCGCATTACCACTCACAGCTCATCCACTTTCACCTCTCCCACGCGCATTACCACTCACAGCTCATCCACTTTCACTCTCTCCCATGCGCATTACCACTCACAGCTCATCCACTTTCACCTCTCTCCCACGCGCATTACCACTCACAGCTCATCCACTTTCACCTCTCCCACGCGCATTACCACTCACAGCTCATCCACTTTCACCTCTCTCCCATGCGCATTACCACTCACAGCTCATCCAGTTTCACCTCTCTCCCACGCGCATTACCACTCACAGCTCATCCAGTTTCACCTCTCTCCCACGCGCATTACCACTCACAGCTCATCCACTTTCACCTCTCTCCACGCGCATTACCACTCACAGCTCATCCAGTTTCACCTCTCTCCCACGCGCATTACCACTCACAGCTAATCCACTTTCACCTCTCTCCCACGCGCATTACCACTCACAGCTCATCCAGTTTCACCTCTCTCCCACGCGCATTACCACTCACAGCTCATCCACTTTCACCTCTCTCCCACGCGCATTACCACTCACAGCCCATCCAGTTTCACCTCTCTCCCACGCGCATTACCACTCACAGCTCATCCACTTTCACCTCTCTCCCATGCGCATTACCACTCACAGCTCATCCAGTTTCACCTCTCTCCCACGCGCATTACCACTCACAGCTCATCCAGTTTCACCTCTCTCCCACGCGCATTACCACTCACAGCTCATCCACTTTCACCTCTCCCACGCGCATTACCACTCACAGCTCATCCACTTTCACCTCTCTCCCATGCGCATTACCACTCACAGCTCATCCACTTTCACCTCTCTCCCATGCGCATTACCACTCACAGCTCATCCACTTTCACCCTCTCCCACGCGCATTACCACTCACAGCTCATCCACTTTCACCTCTCCCACGCGCATTACCACTCACAGCTCATCCACTTTCACCTCTCTCCCATGCGCATTACCACTCACAGCTCATCCAGTTTCACCTCTCTCCCACGCGCATTACCACTCACAGCTCATCCACTTTCACCTCTCTCCCACGCGCATTACCACTCACAGCTCATCCAGTTTCACCTCTCTCCCACGCGCATTACCACTCACAGCTCATCCACTTTCACCTCTCTCCCACGCGCATTACCACTCACAGCTCATCCACTTTCACCTCTCTCCCACGCGCATTACCACTCACAGCCCATCCAGTTTCACCTCTCTCCCACGCGCATTACCACTCACAGCTCATCCACTTTCACCTCTCTCCCATGCGCATTACCACTCACAGCTCATCCAGTTTCACCTCTCTCCCACGCGCATTACCACTCACAGCTCATCCAGTTTCACCTCTCTCCCACGCGCATTACCACTCACAGCTCATCCACTTTCACCTCTCCCACGCGCATTACCACTCACAGCTCATCCAGTTTCACCTCTCTCCCACGCGCATTACCACTCACAGCTCATCCACTTTCACCTCTCTCCCATGCGCATTACCACTCACAGCTCATCCACTTTCACCTCTCTCCCACGCGCATTACCACTCACAGCTCATCCACTTTCACCTCTCCCACGCGCATTACCACTCACAGCTCATCCACTTTCACCTCTCTCCCATGCGCATTACCACTCACAGCTCATCCAGTTTCACCTCTCTCCCACGCGCATTACCACTCACAGCTCATCCACTTTCACCTCTCCCACGCGCATTACCACTCACAGCTCATCCACTTTCACCTCTCCCACGCGCATTACCACTCACAGCTCATCCACTTTCACCTCTCTCCCGCTCAAATGACCACGCACGCACACACTCTCACCCCCTCTCACCTGTCCCCAATGGGCGCAGTGAAGATCTGCAGCAGCACGCCCCCAGCGCCCACATCTACATCCACAAGAATGCCCAACTCCTCATACTCGCCCATCTCCTCCCGAGGCACCTCAAAAATGACCACGAGCGCACTCAACCATACGCACACGCCTGTGCTCACCTGTCACCGATAGGCGCAGTGAAGATCTGCAACAGCACGCCCCCAGCGCCCACATCTACATCCACAAGAATGCCCAACTCCTCATACGCGCCCATCTCCTCCTCACTCATCAAACTCCCAACCCGCCCCGCCTGCTCCCTATAGTACTTAGCCGACGGCCTCGGCAGGAACGCAAATCCATACACACACAGCCACCCCCTCTCACCTGTCCCCAATGGGCGCAGTGAAGATCTGCAGCAGCACGCCCCCCGCGTCCACATCAACGAGAATCCCCAACTCCTCATACTCGCCCATCTCCTCCTGAGGCGCCTCAAAATATGACCACGAACACACTCACCGCACACGCCTGTGCTCACCTGTCACCAATAGGCGCAGTGAAAATCTGCAGCAGCACGCCCCCAGCGTCCACATCCACGAGAATGCCCAACTCCTCATACTCTTCCATCTCCTCCTCACTCATCAGACTCCCCACCCGCCCTGCCAGCTCCCGATAGTACTTAGCCGACGGCCTCGGCAGGAATGCAAACCCCCCCATTTCCTCATACTCTCACCTCATCCTACATCTCCTCCTGAGGAGTCTCAAAAATGACCACACACACAGACGGACGCACGCACGCACGCACACACACAGCACACGCCCGTGCTCACCTGTCGCCAATAGGCGCAGTGAAGATCTGTAGCAGCACGCCCCCAGCGTCCACATCAACGAGAATGCCCAACTCCTCATACTCGCCCATCTCCTCCTCACTCATCAGACTCCCCACCCGTCCCGCCAGCTCACGATAGTACTTAGCCGATGGCCTCGGCAGGAACGCAAACCCGCCCATTTCGCTCCTTGCCTTCATCTCCTTCACGGCTTTCACTATGTCCGTGCACATTAGGGCTATGTGCTGCACTCCTGCCCCGTTATAGTGCTCCAGGAAGGTTTCGACCTGGGTTTTGTAAGGGAGGCCGGGCGAGGGTTCCATTATAGGGAGGATGACTGTCTCCCAGTCATTAGCGAGTACAGTACTGTTCACGCCGAGGCCAGTGGGGTCCACGTCAGCACAGCCGGATTTCTTCTTAGGAGTGGCAGAACCGACAGCAGCAACACCCCCAGTGGGTGCACCAGCAGCAGCACCGATGCCTATTGCTCCTCCTCCCACTCCTCTCCCTGTTCCCATTCCCCTTCCTGCTTCCCCTCCTGCATCCCCTGAAGCACACGAATCTGTGAATTCGTGAAAGCCTGCGAATCCCTTGATGTACCGAACCACATCCGCCAGGCTCGGCACATTCCCAACCACATGGTCGATCCTGAAAAGGCCGTAGCTCATCACTTGGTTCGACGCCGCCTCAAAGGCTGGGAGGAACGGGCCTGAAAAGGATTTCGGGTTCACAAATCGCAGCACCGTGTCGCCGTATAGAGTCACCTCCGCTATAGTCACACTCCCACCTTGGCCGTTTGGTTTGATGTCCGTGACAGTAACGGGAGGGCAGATGGAAATAGCTCCGTTATCTACACTCGTTTGGTAAGCCGCTTCCACGTCCTCCACTCGAACTCCGATTGCCCGGACTCCCAATCCATGCAGAGCGGAAAATTCACGGGCAGCCCGTCGAGAAAATCCTGGAAACGGAACTCGGGAATTTCTAGGGTGTCCAGCCTCCCCAGTTACTCCACCCAGGGGTTCTGTACGCGATATAGCTGCTGCTTCGGAATAAGGCGCCGTGAACACCAACGCCAGGTCCTCCGCTTTCAGCACGTAACTGCAGAACGTGTGGTTACCCGTCGTCTGGTCCGATTTCGCCACGAGCGGCAGCCCCAGCCCCCACGAGAACCGTCCGTACGTGTTAGTAGCATCTCCGCACCAGAACTCGATATGGTGAAACCGGTCCACCTTAAATTTATCCGTCCGCGGGTTGTTTCGTAAAAAGCTTCCAAATCCGACGAGCCCAGTGGGTGTCAAAGCAGCAGCGCTGCGCGCCGAGTCCGCGCTGCGATGCTCGTCGTCCTCGTCTTCATCCTCGTCGTCGTATTCCTCGTCGGACGAAGCAGGACCGTACGTGTCCAGACTCACGCACCCGGCCTGCTCCAGGCTCTGAAAAAAGGCGTCTTGCATTCGTTGAGCTATGTTTCCTAGCATCGCGGCGCGTGTAGCATTCGATAATACGCGTCGACTGATACGGTCTGCGAATCCTTCGACAGGTCTGTTGCGAAGCTAATAACGGTCAGAGTGGCTGTTGGTGCCTTCGACGGGCGGTGCGACCTGAAACGATGCAAGAACTAGTCAGTGCAGAAACTGGCATGGAATATTGGTGGGGTGGCCTCGAATTCTTTGCTCTGCGTCTGCCAGGCCAGCAGACTGGATTCTGGCTCCCGCGGATCACCCACAGACCCGGCATGTGCAGGCCAACCCGCACTCAACCTCGAAAGTCCCAGCCCAGTTTATCCATGTAGTAAGGCTTCGCGCTAAAGGCTTCGGCTGCATTACTCTGTAGCACCTTATCCCGTGTAATTGGTCGTTGATTTATTCTAACATGAATGTAAATCATAAGATAATAACATTTAAGACATTCGATGAATATATTTTTTTTTCCTGAGGTACATTCCCTTACATCAAAACCGTACTGCGGCATTTGAAACAGTCACATTTCACCTCTCCTTTATCACGTCCTCTCCATGAGCGTGGTGCGACGAAGTGGGAGAACGCATCCTCAATACGAGGCTAATGCGTCTACAGTTACATCCAAGAATACTGTAATAACCTTTCGAAATTCCAGCACCAGTACACATAAATACCAACGCACCTCACATCTGACTCAACTCAAGCCTCCCCCCGTCTATTCAGCTTTCTTAGGCTCGTCGTCCAGGAAAGGGTAGTCGATGTACCCCTTGACTTGATCCCCAATAAAGAAGGTGCTTCGGTCGTACGGGTTGAGCGGCGCGTTGAGCTCAAAGCGCCTCGGCAGGTCGGGGTTGGCCAGGAAGAGCCGGCCGTACGTGATCAGATCCGCCGCCCCGCTCTCTATCGCTGCCATACCGTTCTCCCGCTGAGTGTTTGAACAATAGCGGAGGGTTGGAGAGGAAGGGAAAGAGAGCAGTGAGACGATGGCGCGGAGGGGAGTGGAAGCATTGGGTGCAAGCGTAATCAAGGGAGCTTCGGTACTGGCACAGCATAGACGAGGCAGATAAAAAAGGTGTACGATAATATTTCGACAGTAGTAATTAACAACACTTAGAGTGCTTGAGGCCATGCAACTTGCATTACCACACACTAGTTGCTGCACACTACACGATACCAGGCACCAGACTACCTCACAGTCAGCAGAAGCAGCACCAATGACGGCTATGTTGAAGGGCCATATAGGTCACATGGGTCACATGGGTCAGATGGGTCACACGACTCACACGGGTCACACCGGTCACAGGAGCTTACCTTGTAGCCGCCTGCAGCAATGAAGGGCCCCTTGAACGCCTTGCGGAATGGCTCAAGCGTCTGCAGAGGTAGAGGGAGGGGAGTGGAAGCAGGGGCAACAAGAAACTATTTTTCTTAACTGCCTTGCGGAATGGCTCCAGAGTCTGCAGATAGATGAAGAGGAGCGCAGCAGGGGCAATAAAAAACAAACTCTAAGTCGCAACAACAGCAGGGGAACCGAAAAAAGAAGGAAGGAAGAAGAAATTAAAGCGATGAAACACGCAAGCCCTCGAGCCCTCTTTGAGCTCTTTCCTGGCGGTTTCCGACCAGGCAGCCCTTGAACCCTCTTTCCCTCCACGCACCCCTCTTTCACAAGCAGACAGTACTCACTGGCACTGCCTGCAAAGCACTCAGCTCCTTCAAAACCCAACACCACCTACACGCTGCTCACCTCCTTCACATCTTCCAGGTCTGCGTTCCCCTGTGCGCGTGCCTCAATGAAATGCACGTACGCCAGGCCCAGGCCGTTGATGGCCTCTATCAACCCCAGGTACGTGCCCACGGGGTCCGAGTCGGAAGCATCCAGGAAGGAGCTGTACGGCGACAGGCGCACGCCCACCTTGCTGGCGCCCACCTCGTCCGCCACTGCCTTGATCACCTGAAAAGACCGGGGGGGGGGAGCATGAGGGGGTGGGGGGAGGAGAATTGGGGGGGGGGGGGGGGGGGGAAAGGGGACAAAGGTGACTTGAGTCGACTCAGAAGCCACCCAGCTGGCGCCCACCTCGTCCGCCACTGCCTTGATCACCTGAAACACAAGAGGGGGAAGGGGGGGGGATAGAGGAGGGAGGCGTGGTGGGGTGGGGAGGATGCTCATTTGCCACCTTGCTCACCTCATCCGCCACTGCCTTGATCACCAGAGGGGGAGGGTGAAGGGGGGTGGGGAGCAGGGAAACGGAGGATAGGGCTGATTCTTGAGTCACCTCGGGGAGTGTTGGGGGATGAAGGGGGGGCAGGGAAATGGAGGATGGGGATGACATTTGTGTGACCTCGTCTGTCTTGATGGGGGGTGAGGGGGAAGATGGGGGATGGAAGGGGGATGACGTTTTGAGTTGTTTGAAATGCCACCTCGTCCGCCACTGCCTTGATCACCTGGGGGAGGGGAAGGGATGGGGGAGGGGAGGAACAAGGGGATGCGATGGGGGGAGATGGGTGGAGGAAGGCTGGAGAAAGATATGGGTTGCATATGGGGAAGGAGGGAGGGGGAAGAAGGAAGGGGTCACGGGTGGGTGAGTGTGGGAGAAGAGTGGAGATTGGAGATTCAGAAACCGCTTCTGGAAGCAGGGATTAGGGAGGAAGGAGGGAGTAGGAACGGGGCAACGGAGCAAAAGGGGAAGGAGGAGGCGGGCAGGAAGGAGGGGATAGGAGGAGAAGGGGTGGGAAGGGAGCCTGATTTCAACATCTCATTTAGGCTCCACCCTATTCATTAACAGCAGAAGTAGAAGGATTAGCAGAGTAGAGCAGTCCCAAAGAACTCAACCATCCCCAGCGCTAGTGACTGTAAACTAACACCACAATCGCCCCCCTTAGAGTCACAGCAGCCTGACCCACCTGCAGGGGGAAGCGAAGCCTGTTCTCAAGGGAGCCGCCAAACTCGTCCTCACGCTTGTTGATGCCGTCCTGATGATGGGGAGAGGAGAGGCGGAACCAGGGGGGGGTGGGGGGGAAGTTGGTGTGGGAGTATGGTGGAAGAGTGAGGTTGGGTTCTTGAAAGAAGCGGCGATATTGGGGAGACCCATCGAATTCGTCCTCGCACTTATGCCGTCCTGGCTGTGGGGAGAGGAGAGGGGAGGCGGAACCGGGGGGACGGGGGGAAAAGTGTGACGGAGGGTTGTTGAGGGAGTAGGAATAACGAGGTAAGGCGCGCTGCATCCGACTTGACCTTGTGCTCGTTGTTTGTTGCATGGTGTGGTGCATGCAAACTGGTGTGTTGCAAATCATGAGAAATGAGCGAATCCCCAAGCAGCTCATACCATCAAGTGCATTGAACTGTCCTTATTGTACCACGCTCATGCCAACTGAAATTACCAAGACCAACTCACATGTATTACCCCCACTCGTCCCGCCTTTTTGTTCCGCAATGCAACAATTCAACCAAAACACATCTTGCAGATGTTAGAGACAAATACATGTCGTTTAGGCTAATGACTGGAATCAACCAAAACTATCTCACCAACTATTCATTGAACTGTAGATCATCCCATCACCGCGGCCCTCTCACCATGATGAACTGCTCCAGGCAGGTACCCTTTCGCTGCGGTGATCCGAAATGTTATAGATTCGCACAAATCGCCACCATCGCCCAATCTCCACGTTCAATACTCCCCTACACTAGAATGAGCCACGACAACGAGCGGTCGTCTCACCTTGATGAACTGCTCCAGCAGGTACCCGTTGGCGCCGTGCACCTCCACGCCGTCGAACCCCGCGTCAATCGCGTTGCGCGCCGCTACGCGGAACTGCTCCGTCACCTGGAGGATCAACCCACCCGTGCCGGAAATCGCAACGATGAAAAAGTGAACAATGGAAACGGGATGATGGGAAACAAAAGAAAAGAAGAAAAAAAGGTGAACGGAAATGGAATAAGGGAACTGAGATGCCTGTGATAGAGTGTGGAATAGCATGGAGCATGGAAGAGCATGAAATGGGAAACTGGAGATGGGTCAAAAGGAATGCGTGCGGAGAAACTCTGGCGCGCAGCCGCGCAATCCTGCGTGCACCGCACCCTCGCGGTGTTGCCCAGCCCGCGCGGTGCTTCTAGCTTGCTCGGTCGCGCGGCACTTCTCAAACGCGCGGTACCACTCGGCGGTCGCCTGGATTCACCAGACTAAAGCGGCGCGAGTCGCTCGGAGCGGCGATATAGCGGAAAATGATAGGGCCGTGTGGTGCGCGCACGTCATCTAGCGAGCACCAGTGCAAGTGCCTCGCTTGCCGCTTGAGTCCCGCTCGAAAGGATTCAACTACGTTTAGGGATTCGAACGTTGTATCCATCCCCGTACCTCTGATTGCCTGTCCGGCTCCGTACCTTGTTGATCTCTTCGACGGTCATGGCCCGCGGCGTGGGGTAGTCGGCGGGGCCAGTGCTGATGTACACCTTGATCTCGTCGCTAACGATAGGAATGGCAGACGGGGCCATCGGCGCGGCGCCATCAGGCTGGTATTCTGCTCGGCGCGCAGTGGAGGAGGGGGGGAGAGAGGAGGGGTTTGAAGGGGTAGGAGACGGACGAGGAGCAGAGGAGGGGGGACGAGGAACGACAGTTAGTGATGAGGAAAGATTGACGTGAAAAGAAAGGGAATTACGAGGTCGGTACGCATCGCTGGCTATCGTATGATATTTGAATCGGCGAGGGGACGAAGCGAGGAGAACGAAAGATGAGGATCTTTCGCCAAATGTGAGGGATTTTACGAATGAAACGCGAGCAATTTGACGAAAAAATCGCCAGCTCGAAGCGAATCGTCGTCAGGCGTACCATTAACGACAACACCGAGACTCCGCGATGACTGCCCACATCAGTGAAGCAAGCCCCCTTCCATCGTCGGAAGCAACAATGCCGGAGGCGCCTCAACGTATCGTCATCATTGCCAATGCGATCGGTCGACGTCGTCGAAGAAAGAAGCACAAGCGGGATTCACCTTGGTGCGACGCGCGGCCGACGTGCCACAGCTGGCAGAAGAAGCGCGCGCCCTTGTCGTGCACCGCCTTGATCACCGGCTTCCACGCCGCGATCTGCGCCTCCGTGTAGATCCCCGGGGTGTCGGGGTACCCGTGCGCCTCGGGCGAGATGCACGTGCCTTCGGTGAGCATGAGCCCGCCCTTGTGCGCGCGCTGCGAGTAGTAGATCGCGGCGTTCGGCTGCGGGATGGTCCCGAGGGCGCGATCGCGCGTCAGCGGCGCGTAAACGATGCGCATTGAGAGCTCCGTGCCGTCCGGGAGAGTGAACGGCGTAAGGAGCGGGTTGGGCGTGGACGAGGCCATGATGACTCGCGCAAACTGGGACGACCGCGAGGGACAGAGCACAGGTGAAGAGACTGTTGCCGCTCGGAGGAGCTTAGCAGGCGCAAAGAGGGTTGCAATGCGAAGCATAATAATTGCTGACTGAGATGGCGTCAGCAGGAGTAAGTACGTGCACAAGAGTGCGCCTCAGGTCGACATCTCGTTCAGGCGACCTGGACGTGCCGAGCCGATCACTGCAACCGCGACGCGTGCTTGTTTGACTGTGGGGCGGAAGCGTCTTTGTCGGTGTTGGGTGGTGTGGCGGGGTTTGGTTTGGTACTGAACTGTACAGTCGACCAAGGCGCTGATGGCTGACTGAGGGATTCGAGATGCTTCCATTCTCGAAAAAAAGCTTCGAGGAATGGCCTGAGATGGTTTTTTGTTTCCGAAGAGCTTCGTCGCATTTCGCATTTCGGGGAGGTTGCGGCACAGGTATCGGTGACGTCAGCGAAACCCGAGCCGAAATCCATTCTGTTCGCTATAGAGTTCGAATGTCGAAGTCACTTGCATACACCTCACCCCAGTTTGTCTCTCTGGTGTTGAGGCTTTGTGTTCTCATAAATTCCAAACAATATCCAGGGACCTTAGGGTTGGTGGATACATGCAGGCTCAACCGATGCTTTTACTTGAAACATCCACAGTACCAGTGAGAAACTTTTACTTGGATCGCCTATGATTTTGCCACATTTTTGGATTTCAAGGGTGCAGCAAAATCTACGCGTCACTACGCCGTTTCTTCTTGCTGCCGAGGTGGCGAATAAATGTCCGCACGCTATCGTGTGCATCTGCACGAACAACAAACTTTCTCTTCTTGCTGTCTTTCCACAGCAACGCTCCAATCTGCTGCGCATGCTTAACAATGGCTTCAAACACTTCCTGCACAAAATCTCAAGGGCAGAGGTCAGAGAAACGTGTAGGCGCATATTCGATTGGTTCAGGAGAGGGACGAGGTGAATCGCATGAGATGGAATTGGCTGATGTTGAGAGAGACTATAAACCGATATGTGTACACATTCGGAAACATGTGTGGGCTACTCTTCATCCATACTCTCTACTAACTCCGCTATGTGTCACTCTATAATAACTCACTTGGTTGGGAATGCAAGAGCCTGACTCAACACTGGCAATAGCTCACCTGGGTGGGGAGTTGCCATGGTTGTTGGAATGGACAGGCACACCTTGTTGGTATCACCTGGGGAATCACCTGGGTGGGGAGCGGCCATACCTCACCTTGCTGGAATCACGTGGGTGGGCTCACCTTCTTGTTATCACCTGGGGAATCACCTGGGTGGGGAAGTCATTGTAGAGCACAGCAGCAGTGGTGGCCACTCGATTGCGGTCAAACTCCCACAGGCGGATCTGACCCACACAGGGCAGTGGGGCAGCACGGAGGTGATACCAGGAAGATTGGGCTACTGCGAATTGAGAGAATGCGCAAATGGGCAAATTGCAGATGGGCACTTCAACAAGCTTTGCAGACACATTTGAGAGTGAGAAGAACAAGTTGAGAAAAGTGCTTAGAATGGGATGTTATGTGATGGCAAATGGAGTATCAGATGGGACTTGATAGTATAAGACGGTGGCAAATGATAGTGTAAGATGATGTATGATCGAATGAAATAGCTCTTGTTGACGCCAGATGGTGTGCAATGTTTTGACAAAGGGCATGGTGAGACGGTATGATACACCACTCACCCCACACTACACGCAGCACACACACACACCACATATCAACCAGCACACAAACACACACGGCAGTAAACAGCACACAGCACACCACCACACAGCACCGCACAGCACCGCACAACACCACTCGGCACCACACAGCACCGCACAGAACCGTACAAAGCCCCACAGCACCTGGTCCACCACTGTCTCGGGCACCACCGGCGCCTTGGTGGCCACCAGGGGATGAGCATTCTTGCGCACGTACTGCACTATCTGATGGTTTTTGGGGGGGGAGGTGGGGGGGAGAGACAAAGGGGGGAGGAGGGATAAGAGCATTCCATGAGCGTTCCTGCGCACGTACTGCACTATCTGATGGTTTGTAAGAGGGAGGAGGTGGGAGGGGGGGGAGACAAAGAAGAGAGGAGGGGAGCTTAGATGAGCGTTCCTGCGCACATAATGCACTATCTGATGGTTTGAAAGAGGGAGGTGGAGGGGGAGGAGACAAAGAAGAGAGGAGGGGAGCTTAGATGAGCGTTCTTCCGCACGTACTGCACTATCTGGTGGTGTGAGGGGGGGGTTGGGGTGAGGGGTAAGTGAAAGAGGAAGGGGGAAACAAGAAGCGAAAAGGGTGGAAGAGCATTGCAGGCATTGAAACGGCAGTGTTGCAGACGCACTGCACCTGCAGTGTCTGGGGGCTGGGGGAGGTAGGGGGAGGGGGAAGGGGAGAGGAGGGGTGGGAGCCTCGATGCACGTCCATTTGCACGTACTGCAATATCAGGGGCTTTGGGTGGGGGAGAGGGGGGGAGACGAGAGCACTGCAAGGGCGTTCTTGTGCCCACAGAACGATATGAGCATGACAAAGGCGCACTGCTGCAATTTGTTGTGACAGAAGTTTGACGGTAGGACGGGGGGTTGCCAGAGGATGGGCAGGAGAGGATGGGCAGGAGAGGATGAAAGGAGAGGATGAAAGGAGAGAAAGGCATGCTGGATTGAATGGCTGCCTACTGCAAAGCATGTTTGAAATCATAAATGTACTTTTTGGGCGATGTTTGTAATGGGTTAGATGTGAAGCTTCCATCCCCAAACCACCCTATCCAACCTTATCCATCCAGATCTGTATGGCTTGGATGAATCCTCATGAGCCCTCTCATTGATTCACCTTTATCCCTTTGATGCTTCTTGGTATTCTCGACCGAAGTAGCTTACTCTCCTGGTGAATTGATACTTGTGCTCATGATCTTTCACTGCTTGTGAGCGCCCCTTCACGTCTGTTGAAACCACCTGAGCATCCCACCCGCCCTGCTGAAACCACCCGAGGCCTCACCTGCTCACCTGAGGACCCCACCTGCTCTGCAACGATGCCGAGGGCAAGGGCGTTGTTGACAGTCTCTCGATTCATCACTCCCACCACCAGGTTGGGCAGTCGATACTCTAGCCTGCGAGGGATGAGAGGCAGAAGTGGAGGCAGAGAGAAGAAGAGGCAGCGATTGAGAGAGGCAATGCAAACGAGCATATAGGTCTGACAGTCACTCTCTCGATTCATCACTCCCACCACCAGGTTGGGCAGCCGATACTCTAGCCTGCGAGGAGTGAATCACGGAAGGAGAGGTAGATGGAGAGGCAGGGAGGAGAGGTGGAGAGGGAAAGACAGGTAGATATTGCAAGCTGGCATTGAGAGGAAACACACGTGATAATTCCGTTCCATAGAAGCCTGGGAGGCCATTTTGGTCCATCCTTCATCTAGCCATCATCAACTTTCATTTCAATCATGGCCCTTACCGCATGAAGGGTGGAAAATCGTCTCCTCACACTCACATGACGGGTGGAAAAACACCTGAAATGTGTGTGTGTGAGCCTCGTGGAGAGAGACGCACCTCATGAAGAGGGATAAGTGGTTTCCCCAGCAGCTCCGACTGCAAGCATGCAGGCACGCATGCCATGGTCCCCACTGAGAAATCTCAGACCTGCATGCATTTTGCCTCTCAACTAGCACGAACGTATGTTCCTTGTTTGTTGTGACGCACCTCATGAAGAGGGAGAGGATCTCCGCCTGCAGCTTGGAGTGCGTGTATGCATACACTCTGAAGTTGGTCTCCACCACTATGAAGCCCTGCCACGCTAGGAGTGAGTGCGAGAGTCAGTGAGTGAGTGCGTGACAGATGGGCTGCACGGGATTGATGGATTGCGCGAGAGAGAGGATCTCCGCCTGCAGCTTGGAGTGCGTGTATGCATGCGCTCTGAAGTTGGTCTCCACCACTATGAAGCCCTGCCACTCTAGAAGGGGCGCAGAGCAGGGTGCGGTGCAGATGGGTGGGTGGGTGAGTGAGTGAGTGTGTGTGCGGTGACTGGGCGAGTGAGAGAAAGAGAGCATGCGGTGATCTAAAGATGGTGTTTTTACCGCATTGAAGTGCTGTGCTAAGAGCAAAGAAAGCGGCCAGTGAATGTGAGCCATCGAGTGGGGAAAGACAGGGAGAAAGGAGGAAAAGCAAGAAAAACAGTTGCAATGTACAAGCCAGAGGTGATTTTTGAGTCAACTCAAAAAGAAAACCAGTTGCAATGTACAAATCAGAGGTGATTTTTGAGTCAACTCAAAAAGAAAACCAGTTGCAATGTACAAACCAGAGATGTCAGCTCTTGGTGTCAACTCAAGCGAGCACTGTGCTGCAATGCAATGCAAGATCGTGCTCCCTCACCTCTGAATCTGACGTGGCGGATTCGGATAGGCTGGAGGAGAGCGCAGCTGCAAGGTGAGTCGGGATGAACCACTGATCGTGCCTCCCCTGCGATGCGGGTGACAGTGTGGTGTGGTGTGGTGTGGTGTGGTGCGGTGTGGTGTGGTGTGGTGTGGTGCGGTGCGGTGCGGTGCGGTGTGGTGTGGTGTGGTGTGAGGGGTATATGAAAGCAGTGAGGAGGTTAACGACATGCTGACAGGTCACAGCATGCAGCGGGATATGAGGCAGGGTAGGGCAGGGCAGGGCAAGGCAGGGCAGGGCAGGGCAGGGCAGGGCAGGTGAAGAGCACACCTTGTGAGTGAGCACGAAGCCCAGCTGTGCGATCTCCTCCACCATCTCCTGCTGCATGCTGGTCAGCGTTGACATGCTGTATGGCTGCTCTGGGGGTACATGGGGGCATGGGGATATGGGTGCACGCAGGGATGCATGGGGGCATGAAGCATGGGTGGACGCTCATTCGCCTCCACCACCTCCTGCTGCATGCTCGTCAGCGTTGCCATGCTGTATGGCTGCTCTGGCCGTGGCGGTATGCATGAGTGCATGATGGGTGCATGATGGGTGCATGATGGGTGCACGATGGGTGCACGATGGGTGCATGATGGGTGCATGATGGGTGCATGATGGGTGCATGATGGGTGCATGATGGGGGCATGATGGACACACATGCACGTGCATCACAAGAGAGGGTAAGGGAAGGGAGGAGGGGAGATGGGGGGAGCGGGGAACAAGGGAGGGGGCAAAGCAGTGATGTTTGGCAAGGCATTATTGTGCCACTAATGCACCTGTCTCAATGTATATTGCTAGCGTTGTGGTGACATACAGATGGTCCTCTGATCAGCTGTAGCAGTTGTTACAAAACATACAACATGGTGCCTGCCTATGTTGTAACCATACTGAGCCAATATTGTAACCGTAACATGCCAATGTTGCAACCGTACTGTGGTAATGTTGTAACCATAACATGCCAATGTTGCAACCGCACCACGCCTATGTTGTAACCGTACCATGCCTATGTAGTGATTGTACCGCGCCTACGTTGTAACCATAGTAACCGCACCGTTCCCATGTTGTAACCCTACCATTCCAAACTTGTAATCGTACCCAATTGTGTAAACATACCATTCCAATTTTGAAACCGTGCCGTGCAAATCGTGTAAGATCGCCTTCCTGGGCTGTCCCAACTTCGAAGTGGGGACAGCGAAAAGTGCACTCGGCACGTGCGAAGGCATTGGGGTTCGTGATGAGGTGGCGAGGGAACGAATGAGGATGTTGCAGTTGGGTTAAGCGGTCAATTTCAACTGCATGCAGATTTTGCCAGGTAGTATTTGCGAATGCATACCAGGACATTATTGCAGAAAAAATGTTGACCCGTCGGGTAACCACGCGGTTACTCGTGTTTGGGTTGAGGCTTCCCTTGTCGGATGCCATCCGATTGGGGTGTATGTTGTTTTCTGGCCGCGGGCAGATAACCGTACCCTTCCAATGTTGTAACCGTACCCTTCCAATGTCGTAACCGTACCCTTCCAATGTTGTAACCGTACCCTTCCAATGTTGTAACCGTACCCTTCCAATGTTGTAACCGTACCCTTCCAATGTTGTAACTGTACCCTTCCAATGTTGTGGAATCCGAGCTCCAGGAGAAACGCGATCACATCCCCACTGTCATGCCCCCTGTCCTGGCATGGTGGGGGAGAAGGGGTGGAGAGAAGAAAGGTGGGGGGAGACGAAACGAAAGGAGGCAGAAGAAGTAAGAAGGGGAACGAGGGGGGAACAAATCAGAAGAAGGGAGGGATCACAGGAGAAGGATGGGAGAATCATTAGCAAAGAAGCCATGTAATTTTTTTAATACTGAGTGTTGAATGTCACCCATAGCAGTCATGCGGGCAATGCAAGCTCGTCCAAGCATCCCCACATTCTACTTGGTGAACCGTGAAGGAAATGAATCGGTACAGACGGGGGGATGCTTGGACGACCTACAGCCAGCCGACCGACGGGATAGAGAGACTTGCTGTGGTCCATTAGGCCTTGGCTGAGTCAACTAGCTTTCTTTGTCCAGCTAGTTGACTCACGTTGACTCATTTGACTCTCGTTGACTCAGTTGACTCACGTCGACTCAGTTGACTCGCGTTGACTCGCGTTGACACAGTCAACTGACCTGGGCCAACTCAATGTAGCTCGACACTATCGCCCACAGCTGCTCGTTCCGGTCTTTGAGCTCATGCCCATGCCCATGCCCATGCCCATGCCCATGCACATGCACATGCCCATGCCCATGCACATGCCCATGCCCATGCCCATGCCCATGCCCATGCACATGCCCATGCCCATGCCCATGCCCATGCACATGCACATGCCCATGCACATGCCCATGCCCATGCCCATGCCCATGCACATGCCCATGCCCATGCCCATGCCCATGCACATGCACATGCCCATGCCCATGCCCATGCCCATGCACATGCCCATGCCCATGCCCATGCCCATGCCCATGCCCATGCACATGCCCATGCCCATGCCCATGCACATGCCCATGCCCATGCCCATGCACATGCCCATGCCCATGCCCATGCCCATGCACATGCCCATGCCCATGCCCATGCACATGCCCATGCCCATGCCCATGCCCATACCCATGCCCATGCCCATGCCCATGCCCGTGCCCGTGCCCGCACCCCGTGCCCCGTGCCATGCAACGCAAAACACGCATGCAACAAACAAGTTGCACATGGAGTCGTAGGATACACAAGAAACAAACTGAATACAAAAGGCAGCAACAGCACGCTTGCGGAAAGAAACCGGGGGAAGCACGAGGCGTGGTGAGAGAAGTCTTTGCGGTCGAAGAAAACAGCGAATCGCTAGGCGAGAGTGACAAGGCAAAATAAATGCTCCATAAGGAAGTCATGGGGAGGAAGTCATGGGGAGGAAGCGTACAAGGAAGGGGAAGGCGGAGGTTGACACGACTGAGAGAGAGGAACCCCTGAGAAACAATGAGTCAGAGGAGGACGTGGTGGAGGAGGAAAAGGGGACAAACGACAGAAAAAGGAGGGTGCAACAGGGAGGATGAGGGGGTAGGGAGTGGTCATGGGTCCATCCTCGCTTTTGGACCCCATGTAGTTGTAGCGTTGCGCATTAACATAAACATACGTGTACGAACGCTTAATAAGCGTAACATATACCCCGGCACGAAAAGAAAAACTGCCAAGCGGGGCCATGGGCTACAAGAGTGGGACGACAGGCATCGGTGTGAGCAGGATATGGGGGGTTAGGTGCGGTCGGGTTGGAAAAACTGCACAAATGAAATCCGTAACCACAAAGAATTGGTGGTTAAAATATTGTTTCGCCACCCTTTGGTTGAGCAAGAAGCATTTAATTCTACAGCCAAAAACAGGTTACACAGAGGCGAGGCAATGTGACAAAGCCCTTGGGGCATCATCAGGGCACCATCTGAAGGATATGAGGAGTGAACAGGAGTGGAGTGGAGTGGAGTGGAGTGGAGTGGAGTGGAGTGGAGTGGAGTGGAGGCCCAAGAGCTGCTACTGCTAGCAGCAGCATCGACGGCGGAGGCGGAGGCCGCGGCAGCAGCAGAGACACTCACGAGTGGGTGAGCAGGCCAGCTCGTATGAGCACGCGTGTGATGACAGCAGCACCGTGCCCCCCAGCTATGGACGGCGGCGATATGAGATGCATGAGCACTGCCTGGGGTGGGGGTATGGGAGAGGCAGGCAGTGGGGGAATAAGGTAAAGTAAGGAGGAAGAGGAGGGAGGGAGGGAGGGAAGAAAAAGCAGCGCTATGGCCCCCAGATATAAGTGGCGGCGATATGAGATGCATGAGCACTGCCTGGGGGTATGGGGGAGGCAGGGGGATTAGAGGTAGGAGAATGAGGTCAGGTGAGGAGAAAGGGGAGGGGGAGAGGGAAGGACAGCAGCTCCGTAACCCCCAGCTATGGATGGGGGGGATATGAGATGCATGAGCACTGCCTGGGCTGGGGGTATGTGAGAGGGAGGGAGATGAGTGGTGAGGGAATGAGGTAAAGTAAGGAGGACGAAGAGGGAGGGAGGAAAGGAAAGCAGCGCCGTGGCCCCCAGATATGGGTGGCGGCGATATGAGATGCATGAGGACCGCCTGGTGGGGGTAGGGAGAGACGGGGGAATGAGTGGTGGGAGAATAGGAGATGGGAGGATGAGAAGTAGGGATATGGATCGAAAGAATACGGGATGGGAAGAGCGAGGTAACGTAAGGAGGGAGGGAAAGGAAAAAGCAACGTGGCCCCCAGCTGTGGATGCAGGCGAATTTGAGATGCATGAAGACTGCCTCGGGGATGAGAGATGGGAGGATGATGAGAGATGGGAGGATGATGAGAGATGGGAGGATGATGAGAGATGGGATATAGGGTGGAAAGGACGAGGGCGGGTGGAAGAACGAGGCAAAGGTAAGGAGGACGAAGGGGGCAGGGGGAATGGAAGTAAGGGGAGAGGAGAATTTGTTGCTCTTCCAAGCGGGCATGCAGAACAAGTGACAAAACTGGATCCCTTCATTCTTCTTCTTCTTCTTGGCTGATGGTGCATCCCTCACCTCCCAGTGGCTCGTGGCATGGGCTGCCAGCTCAGCAGCCGATGGCAGGCGGGTGGCCACTGAGGCCGGCACACTGGGTCGAGACACGGGCGCACTGCAGCAGTGAGATGATGAGGGGGGAGGGAGAGACCATGGGGAGGAGGGGGGTCTGAAGGAAGGCCTCAGACGGCAGGCGGGTGGCCACTGAGGCCGGCACACTGGGTCGAGACACGGGCGCACTGAGACAGAGAGAAGGCAGGAGGGAGGTGGGTATATTGGGGAGAAGAGGGGGAGTTTTTTGGTGTTGGGCGAAAGTGGAGCAGATGGGGAGAGGGGGGAGAGTGGGAGAAGTCCATCAGGATGGGACAAGACACGGGCGCTCTGAAGCAGTAAGTGAGATGAGGAGGGAGGGTGAGAGATCGGGAGGGAGGGGTGTTTGGGGGAAGGCAACAGACAGCTTGGTCAATAGCCCATCCATAGTGGAGAAGGGAGAAGTATAAAATCCCCACACACCGTGTGTGCACCAGCCATACACCCAGCGCCTCACCTCACCGTAACATGAGTGCACTGCACACGCCTCTCTCACGCTCACGTGCACCAACAACGAGCACTCCCTCACCCTCACATGCGAGCACGTATCTCACGTGCAATGCAAGGCATGCAATGTGGCACGCGCCCCGTGCAAACCGACGCATGCGCTTATCAATGAGCGTCTGCTGGCACAGCAAGCATCAACGAGTGACTCACCCTGACGTGAGCGCCTGCTGCAGCTGCTGCTGGAAGGTGGGGTTCAGGCGGAACGCTCCTGGCGCCGACGATCCTGCTGATGCTGTCAGCGACCCTGTTTCGCTGCACGTGGGATGAGAGGAGGAGGGGGGGAGGGGGGGGGGGGGCTGATGATGCTGATGTTCCTGATGCTGTCAGCGACCCTGTTTCGCTGCACGTGGGATGAGAGGGGGGGGGGGGGGGGGGGGGGGGCTGATGATGCTGATGTTCCTGATGCTGTCAGCGACCCTGTTTCGCTGGTGGGATGGGGGGGGGGGGGGGGGGGGGGGGGGGGGGGGGGGCGTTTGGGGGGATGTTAAAAAATGTTGATACTGATGATGCTGATGATGCTGATGCTGATGCTGTCAAAGACCCTGTTGCGCTGCACATGGGATGGATGACGGGAGCGGGGGGCCAGGTGACTTTTGAGTCGGGTGGAGAATGATGATGTTAACGATCCTGATGCTGTTAAAGTCCCTGTTCCGCTGCATGTGGGGTGGATGAAGGGTGGGCGGAGCACACCTGCGAGTGCATTTGAGAGCACACCTGTGAGTGCACCTGAGAGCACACCTGTGAGTGCACCTGAGAGCACACCTGTGAGTGCATTTGAGAGCACACCTGTGAGTGCACCTGAGAGCACACCTGTGAGTGCACCCGAGAGCACACCTGTGAGTGCACCCGAGAGCACACCTGTGAGTGCATTTGAGAGCACACCTGTGAGTGCACCTGAGAGCACACCTGTGAGTGCACCTGAGCACACCTGCGACTTGCAGCCGTACCTGCATGGCAGCAGCAGGCGCAGCTGCTGCAGCCTGTCAAGCGCCGCCTTGTGCTTGCTGTGAGTGAGCCTATCGTGCTTGTTGCCAGCACACCAGTGAGTTGCAGCCCTACCTGTGTGAGTTGCAGCTCTACCTGCATGGCAGCAGCAGGCGCAGCTGCTGCAGCCGGTCAAGAGCCGCCTTGTGCTTGCTGCGAGCCAATCCTGCCATGCTGTCCGTACACCTGAGACCACACCCGCCGAGTGCACACCTGTGTGAGCCCTACCTGCACGCCAACAGCAGGCGCAGCTGCTGCAGCCTATCAAGCGCTGCCTTGTGCTTGCTGTGAGCCTCGGGCTTGGGCCAATCAGCCACGAGCGCGGCAGGCACAGGGTCGGTGAGGAAGAGCAACCGCAGCACGTACTGCTTGGCCAGTGGGGGGAGCGATCTGGGGCGGTGGGTGGGGAGCGGAATGGATTGGCAGGCGAGAAGGGAGGAGAGGGGGAGCGCAGGAGATGAGTGTGGCTGGCACGGGGTCTGTGAGGAAGAGCAGCCGCACCGCAACACGTACTGCTTGGCTAAAGGGGGCAGGGACCTGGGGTGAGGGGGAGGCCGGAAGGATGAGTGAGACGGGAGGGAGAAGCGGTGAGGGATGAGTGTGGCGGGCACGGGGTCTGTGAGAAAGAGTAGTCGCAGCATGTGATGTTCTCCTTGGCAGTGAGGCCAAGGTGGGGTTAGTGTGGAAGCAGGAGGGTTGTCAGTAGGCACGGCGTTGGTGAGGAAGAGCAGGCGCAGCATGTGCTGCTTGTCTAGAGAGGGGGCAGGGACCTGGGGGGCGGGGGGTGTTGTGGCGCTGGACGAAATGGGAAGGCGAGATGGGAGGTGGGGAAGCGGAGGGAGTGAGTGAGGGCGAACAGTCGCAGCAGATACTGCTTGTGGGAGCATGGGGGTTGAGTGTGGGGCCCAGGTAGGGTTAATGTGGGCGGAGGGAGAGTGCAGCGGGCACTGGGTGAGTGAGGAAGAGCACTCGCAGCACTTACTGCTTTGGCTGGAAGGGGTAGGGACCTGCGGATGAGAGGGTGGGGAGAAGGAGGGTGCAAGGGAGGATGAAGGGAAGGAAACAATGGAGGAGGGAAAGGCTGAAAAAGGGGAAAAGGGGTGGGGGTGGGGGGGAGGGGAAGGAGAGGGGGAACGGTGGGGGAGTGGAGTGGGCACAGGGTTGGTGAGGAAGAGCCGTGGCAGCATTTGCTGCTTGGCTAAGGAAGGGCGGGACCTGTGATGGGAGGGCGGGACCTGTGATGGGAGGGCGGGACCTGTGATGGGACGGCGGGACCTGTGATGGGACGGCGGGACCTGTGATGGGACGGTGGGACCTGTGATGGGAGGGCGGGACCTGTGATGGGAGGGCGGGACCTGTGATGGGACGGCGGGACCTGTGATGGGACGGCGGGACCTGTGATGGGAGGTGCGGGCGGAAAAAAGGAGGCGAAGGAAGGGGGAGGAGGGGAGAAAGGGAGGGAGGTGTGTGTGGGGGTGCTGGGAAGTGCATTGCGAGGTGGGGCGGAAGGAAGGGAATGGGATGAATGAGGTGGGGCGGAAGGAAGGGAATGGGATGAATGAGGTGGGGGAAAGTGAGGCGGAAGTGCGGCAGGAGGGGGGGGAGCTGCGGAAGGGGGAGCGCGGACAGAGGGGTTGGGGAACGAGCAGCATGCGAGGGGGAAAAGGGTGTGCAGTGCGGTGAGAATGGGGTGAAGGGAGGCGCGGGTGGGGGAACCAAGGGAGGCGCGGGTGGGGGAACCAAGGGAGGCGCGGGTGGGTTGACGACCGTTCAATGCCAAAGGTTGCTGATGAGTGTTGTGGACTCGCTGGGCAGTTGGACGGCAGTAGAACTCACGCTTAGTAAAACGAAACGTTTACCTGAGCACGGCTTGGCACGTGTAAAGGGACGAGTATAGGCGGTCTAGCTGCGCGGCCGGCAGCGACGCGAGGTAATCCGCGAATAAGCCGGCAGATTCAACCATTCTTAGCTGGCGGGGGGGGATGAGAGTTACGAGCAGGGGGAGGGACGGCGGGGGATAGGGCGATGACAGGGGAAGGGAGGGCGACGGGGAGGGGGAGCGACGGCGATGGGGAGGGGGAAGCGAGGGCGACGGGGAGGGAAGCGAGGGCGACGGGGAGGGAAGCGTGGGCGACGGGGAGGGAAGCGTGGGCGACGGGGAGGGAAGCGTGGGCGACGGGGAGGGAAGCGTGGGCGACGGGGAGGGGGAGCGTGGGCGACGGGGAGGGGAAGAGAGGGCGACGGGGAGGGGAAGAGAGGGCGACGGGGAGGGGAAGAGAGGGCGACGGGGAGGGGAAGAGAGGGCGACGGGGAGGGCACACGAAGGCGTGGAGGAGGTGACGGGCGAACTTGTGAGGGGTGATGAACTATGACGCTAGAGTGAGTCACGCCAGGAGAGTGGGCGACGAAAGAGCGTCGCAGGAGAGGGCGACGTTTGTGCGCAACAAGAGCGTGGCCTCAGCGGGTGATAAGTGGGCATTAATCGGCCAATGTCGCGCAAATGCTATCGTGTTTCCCATGGTTTGGCGGAATACAATCCGGTAACATTCCTCAAGCAATCTGCAAACTATGCATTACTTATAAAATGTACAAACAGATTTCGTAGCTAAATGTTATGAGTGCAGTTGATTGAGCGAGCGAGAATTGCACTATCGAAGCAAAACAGTACATTGAGCGAAGGCATGAGCAAGAATTATATACTGTGGTAACTGTTATGAGTTGTAAAAGAGAGTGCGCAGGTAAACGAATATCGAGGCTGTGATTGATGAACTCAGAATACAATGAATGCACAGACTAATGTAGGGCTAGCCTAGCTAGGAGGGAACCTCGGACGAGCGAGGTTGGGTGCAGGTTTGGCGATGGGAAATGCCGAAGGCGACGCGAGGAGCCTCGGCAGCGTTGAAATCGGCCGAACGTGCAAAGTCCGAAAATCGGGTTGTACGCGAAGCAGTCAACCCCGATAAGGAATTCGGGAAAATTTCTTACACTACCCCCCCCCCCACCCCCCCCCCCCCCCCCTTCCCCCCCCCTCCCCCCCCCCTTAAGAAAGGCGGTCAATATCCGAAACACGCTTGCGCGCCAGGTAGTCACCAACAAGTGGTGAGGCGGATGGCACCCACGTGTCGTCCTCACTGGTGCGATCAGTCCAGCGGATTAAGAAATCCACGTGTCGGCCAGCTGCGTCAATGCGGACCCGATGGGCCAGAATTTTCAAGGGTTCGAGAGTCAGCTCTGGGACAGGTCGTGCCGTCGGGGCAGCTTGCTGACGTGCAATGTCGGTTGTGGCTGGCACGAACTTGCGAAGTAAGCTGACGTGGAAGGCGTCGTGAATTCGCCAGTCGTCGGGTAGCAATAGCTTCGCGGTGACAAGCGTCACCATCTTGATAATCTTGAAGGGTCTGCAAAATCGTGGCCGTAGTTTCGACGGGCCGGGCAGGTTCAGGTTCTTCGTGTCGAATAGCACTAGTTGCCCAGTCGTCAAGACGAGTTACCGACGTAGAAGGTCGGTGTATTTGCGGGAAGTAATATTCGCCTTGCGAATTGCGTCTGCGGCTTTTTCGCGGATGCTCTGAAGTTCCGTGACAAAGGTTTGTGAGCTTGGGACTGGGTTGCCGAGAGAAGTTGCCGTGGGAACCGTCGGATCCATCCCGTAATTCAGGAAGAACGGGGAGTGATTAGTCGTGCTTGACGGTGCGTTGTTGAAGGCGAACTCCAACATGGCGAGAGAATCTTCCCAGCGCGCAGGGTTGGGGCAGTTTGTCCTGATCAGCTGCTCCATGGTCTGATTGGTTCGCTCGGTTTGTCCGTCCGTCTGTGGGTGGTATGCCGACGAGAACTGTAGCTTCGTGCCGTACTGCGCCCATGTCTCCTTCCAGAACTTTGATGTAAACTTCGGGTCCCGGTCGCTGATGATCGCCGAAGGGATGCCGTGTAGTCGCACGACCGTTGAGATGAAGAGGCGCGCAGTTTCTTCGGCTGTGATTATGGTTCGGCATGGGGCAAAGTGTGCCATCTTCGTGAAGCGATCGACGACGACGAGGACAGCGTCGTTGCCGGACGGCCCAGCTGGCATCCCCGTGACGAAATCCATCGTCACTTGCTGCCACGGTCGTTCGGGTGGCTCGAGGGGTTGCAGCAGCCCAGCCGGCCGTTGACGTGTCGATTTCATGGCTTGGCACACCCTGCATGAGGACACATATCGCTGCACGTCGTTAGAGGAGTCAGGCCAGTAATATTGACGGTGTAGTAATTTCTGGGTTTTGCCAACCCCAAAATGTCCGGAGAAGTTTGAATCGTGGACCTCATGGATAAGGAGTTCACGCAGCAGCCGGTAAGCGGGAACCCAAATCCGGTCGGTTCCGGATTTTAGGTAATTTTCCCCTTTTTGCGTCGTAGCCTGCTGATGACTCCCAGTCGTGAAGAACGGGTCCGTAGTGTAGCCGTGGGTGAATAGTCCGGTAAGTAACGGGTTCGAATGGGTGATGAGTACTGCAGCGGATTGGACTGTCGGTCGGGTCAGGGCGTCGGCGATGTTATTCGCCCCTTTCTTGTACGTGATGCGGTAGGTGAAGTGGCTCTCCATGTAGTCCAGCCACCGAATTTGTCACGGCTTGAGGTTGGGCTGGGCTCGCAGGTACTGTAGGGACTTGTGGTCCGTGCGAACAGTGATGTCGGCGCCCACCAAGTAGCAGTGCCACAGTTTAAACGCGTGGATTATGGCGAGCATCTCCTTGTCGTGAATCGGGTAGTTGCGCTCGGCTGCCTGCAGCTTGCGTGATTCGTAGGCCATCGGCTTCAGTCCGTTCCCGAAATCTTGGAGTAGCACAGCTCCGATGGCGAAATCAGAGGCGTCGGTTACGACTTCGAACGGCTTCGATGGGTCGGCGATGCGCAGCACAGGAGGGGAAACGAGAAAATTCTTGAGCTCCTGGAAAGCCGCCTCTGCCTCCTCCCCCCACACGAAATTCTTGTCCTTGTGCAGCAGGTCGGTCAGCGGGCCGGTTATCCCCGCCATATTCGGGATAAACCGCCGGACATAATTCACGAACCCCAGAAAACTCTGAAGTTCCGTGACATTAGTCGGGGACTTCCACTCCTGTATGGTCTTGATTTTCGCCGGGTCGATTTTAATGCCGTCGCGGGAAATGACGTGCCCTAAAAACTCCCAACTCCGCCCTAAAAACTCCAACTCCTGCTTAAAAAACTCGCGCTAAGAGCCCTTGGTGATGAGGCGGTTCTCCTGCAACCGCTTAAACACTGCGTCCAGGTCGCGGAGATGCTGCTCCCGTGTCTTGCTAAAAATGAGGATATCGTCCAAGTAGACGATGACACATCGGTCTAGAAGATCCCGAAAAACCCTGTTCATGGTCAGTTGGAATGTCGAAGGCGCGTTCGTGAGGCCGAAAGGCATCACTGTAAATTCGTAACTCCCGTAGCGTGTGCGAAACGCAATCTTGTGACAGTCGCCGGCGAAGACTCGAATCTGGTGGTAACCGCCATCTGGTGGTAACCGCCATGTAAGTCAATTTTCGAGAAGTAGCGAGCGCCACGAAGTTGGTCAATATACTTGTCGTCGGACGATCTAAAGAAGGCGGATGTCATTGTGTGTGACCCTGACAGTGGGGAGAGATGGATCACCGACACCACCATCACCGACCCCGTACTACAGAACCGAGACCCCACAGGACCCAAGCCCCTAGGTGGGCATCAAGAGAAGCACTGAAGCAAAAGGAACACATGGTGTTCTGCTCCCTGGCCGTCGAGACCTATGAGGCAAATGCACCAACCACAACAGCGTTCCTTATGTCGCGCCTAGAAGCAGAGGTGGGAAATTTGTCAGAATCTAGAATAGAACGAGAATGGATGAACTAGCAGGAAGGTGGGTACAAGTATGAAACCCTAAGTTTGTGTACCCTCTAAGGCTAAACCCACTATAGCCTACACAATATAAACATACAATGTTTGACACACCCCCATAGGCGAAGTGGGAGACAACCAGAGGGTCACAAGACCAGTCAAAGCAAAGCAAAGCAAAACAGGCTCAGGGTGGATCTCAAGGATACCACACAAATTCCGAGCACAAGCAAGCGGTCACAAGACCAGTTCACATGCAGTTTGATAATATAGCAAGAGATACAGTGATCGCAACCTAGCAAGTGTAAACATGCAGGTATATATATAGAGATCACAGTACAAACAGAGTCAAGAAGTAAGCAAGTGAGGTCCAGCAGGCACAAGGCCTAGAAGAGTACAAAAGCGCTGATGGTCACAAGGCTGAAGCACCTTGGTGAACACATCAGCAGTGTTGGCCTCAGTGGCCACGTAACGCAGACGAAGCTGACCGCACTGCTGCAGCTCTCGAGCAAGGAAGTACCGCAGGGCGATGTGCTTCGTTCTGTGCTCCAGTCTGTGCTCCTCACACAAGGCAATGGCAGCCTTGTTGTCGACGTACAGCACTGGAGGAGAACGAGGCCGCTCTCCCAAGTCGGTCAGCAGGTAGGTCAGCCAGCGTAGCTCCTGGGCCGCCATGGCTGTGGCGTAGATCTCAGCCTCACAACTCGAGCTGAGAACAGACGAAGAGCGTGTAGAACGCCAAGAAACTGAGCCAGAGCCAAGGCTGAAGGTGTAACCCTGAGACGACCGCTGAGTAGCCTGGTCGTCCGCCCAAGAAGCGTCTGAGTGTCCAGTAAGTACAACTCGGTCTCGCCCTCCAAGCACAAGCCCCATGCCCGACGTACTGCACAAGTAGCGCAACACCCTCTTAGCGGCATCCATGTGCTCCTTCCTGTGACGGCCAGGAGCGACATAGCGTGCAAGGATGCTAAGAGGGTATGCAAGGTCAGGTCGAGTGCAGGTCATCAGGTACATGAGGCAGCCCACAAGCTCTGGATACGGGCCACTCGGCTCTACGGACTCATCCGAAGGCAGAGCTGAGAGCGAGTGACCGATAGGCAGAGGAGTGGACTGAGGCGAGGAGTACGTGAAGCGGAAGCGCTGAAGGATCTGCTGCACCATGTGTGACTGAGTCAAGGTGATGGTGCGCCGTGCTCTGTCCCGAGTGATCCGCAAGCCAAGATAGCTTGTCAGTTCACCCAGGTCTGTGCACGTGTGTCTCTTCTGCAGCTCCGACTTCACGTGGGCGAGTGCCGCATGTTAAACTGTATTATGCTTGTAGGCTGTAGTGGGGTAGCCAATATGGGGTACAACCCCAACTAGGGTTTCATATTTGTACCCAAACTTCTGCTAGTTCAATCATTCTTGCCTAGCTATTTTGAAATGGTATTCAGAGCAGGAGGTCCCTAGGACCTACCGACCGTTTTTTTTTTTTTTAAGGGCCCACCACCGCTCGCATGCGGTTACTACGCTACCCCGTGCCCTAGCCTCGTAGCGCCCTCGTGCGCCCTCGTTAGCGCCCTCGCGCGCCCCTCGTTAGCGCCCTCGCGCGCACCCTCGTTAGCGCCCTCGCGCGCCCCTCGTTAGCGCCCTCGCGCGCCCCTTGCTAGCGCCCTCGCGCGCCCCTCACTAGCGCCCTCGCGCGCCCCTCGCAG